ACTGAGAAGGAACTCAGCCCAGAGCACGTAGACGTCAAAGAAGTGCGAAACGTACTCAGGGTAACCGCTGTCGAAGAACAACTCCGCAACAGGTGCTACGCACGGAACGTCAGCGCGCGGAACAACCTGTCGTGTGCCAGCTCCGCATCTCACCATTGCTATTGATGATGAGCCCAGCCTGGATGTTGAATATCGTTTGGAGTGCCTCCGCCGAGAGCGCATTGTTGCTCTGCGACTGCGCCCACTGGGACAGCGACGACTGGATCTTCTCGATGGACGCATCCGCCTTGGCACCAAACAGCTGGCGGATGTTCGGGTACGCAATCGCGTCCGTCGGACCGTGCCCGCCCTTGTCGAAACCGTTCCCATCCGCTCCGAGCGAGTTCATGGTCTGCTCCTGGAAGTTCTTCCCCACCGTCTTCAGGTCGACGAGCGTGGTAATGCCGAGGGGTCCAAGGACTGCTGAATCGCCGATGCCCGAGAGCTGGAGCAGGGCCGGGGTCTACGTACGACAGGCGAGGCGCACAGCACATTACGTGGGTGAGCGAGCTTCTCCGACAAAAGATGAGGACGGACCTGGATGGCGCCCGCTGCGAGGATGACTTCCTTCCGGGCGAACGCTTGCATGCGCGCCCCGGACCCGTCGGCCTTCGCGAACTCAACTCCAGTGGCGACGTGCGGAGCGCTCGAGTCGGACGGGAAGAGCACCTTCGTCACCTGTGCACAGACGTGAGACCGGCTCAGCGCACCCGGAGCGCGATAGAAGACAGGGCTGGGCTTGGGTTACAGCGGATTGCAGCTTACCTGATGCTGGGTGAGGAGCGTCAGTCCGTGGCGTCTGCCTTCGACCGGCGTGTAGTACGCCTGAATGGAGGACGACCGATGGTCACCGTCTTGCCAGTTCAGACTCTGGACGTAAAATGCTCATGAGAACGTGCGTGCAGAAGAGCAGCACGGAAGCGAACGCACCAATGGAGTGATGGAGACGCAGTTCGGCGTGCCGCCGTTCAGGTCCTTGTAGTGGGCAATGCCCGTAAGGTTGACGATCGTGTTCACGAATGCCGGCATCTGAGGACCTCCGTACATCTCGTCAGGATAGGTTACTTGTACGGGTCCAGTGGTGCCGTGGTAGGATGCGATCGACTGCGCTCCCTTCGCCATCTGCTGAGCATTCGGCGCCGAGAACGATTCCGCCTGTACTCAAAACATCAGGACGAGAGCTCCCAGCCATCGAGGGCTGTGGCAGAGCGTACCTTCTTCATGTACGAGAATATGCCATCCCAGTTCCATCCTATGGACGCCTCCGAGTCCTCGAGAAGACTGGACCACGCGTCATATTGCGCGTTCAGACCGCGCGTCCAGTGGCCCCCATTGATGGAGCTACTTCCGCCAAGCGTCTTCCCACTGCAAGACTCGTCAGAAACTGTCATCTTGCGTGCGCGAGTGAAACATAACACTCACCCGCGCATAACCTTCCCGGAATCCGTGGGCCACGCCCAGTCCATCGGGCCGCCGAACGCCTCGCTGTAAGCGTAGATGTCGTAAATCTGCTCGTTGGTCCTGTCATCTCCGCCCGCCTCCACGACCAAGATTTTGAGCGAGGAGTTCTCTGCGAGGCGTGTTGCGACCGTGATGCCGGTCAAGCCTCCGCCCACGACGATGTAGTCATAGGTCTGTCCATCGACCCCGGCCGTGTCAGTCGTGACCTCTGTGGCGCGTTTATGCAAAGACGCGCTGGCGGATGCGCTCAAAGTTAACAGTACGATGCTCGTGAGAGCCGAAGTGGAGGGACGGAGTAGCATAATGGTTGACAGCGTTTCGCGCGAGAAGGCGCGAGAGCAAAAGAGAGGAGGGGTAGAAAGAGAAGAGGAGGAAGAAACGCACTGATGAGTCCTCCGTCGCGACCTAAGTACTCAAACAGCCGGCGGTCTCAGCCCTCGATCTCATTCCGGTGGAGTCGTAGATGATGCAGAACTCCTCGCTGCAAGGCATCATATTGCCGGTAAACTTTCAATGCAACCGTCAACGCGGGGGTGAGGGAGAGGCGGATCGCGCGCGTGGCTGTGAGACGGGGGAAGATCACCGACACCGGAACTGACTGGATTGGTCGGTCACCTACGGGCGACAACAGCGTCGCGGGGGGCGCATGCATCGGGATAGCCTCCTGTCGCAGAGTGATGGTATGTAGGCACTGCCCGTCAGCGCTGGTGGCGTGGTGACTGGTCTCGTTCACTCTGGCAAGGTCTCTCCTCCCTAAACGCACGACGGGCGGCACGATGCGCTTCGGAACCAAAACCTTCGTTGTCTCAATGATTCGAAGTTCGGAGCCTTATGTGCTAGAGCCGGTTGTACGTCCGACCATGCACTTCATAAAGGGAAGCTACCGCGTAGGTCAGTAGAGGTCGTACAGGATTTGTTCACCGACTTACAGGGAGGATTAGACGTGGTTGCGAGACGCATGCCAATTTCGCTCAAGTGTGCGTGTGAACCAGTAGGAACAGCACATGTTGGGGGCAGCAAATGGTCGTGTTGACTGGTAAAGCTTGAAGTGCGAAGGAACGCAGCGGCGACGATAAAGCTAGGCTACTGTCCTCGGTACTCACCATGAACCCCAGCGATTGCACACGCTGCATATAACCCCGTCCATGGAGAAGGTGTCTCGTCTATACAATCCGATATCCTGCAGAGTTTCGCAGCGTTATGAGGGTAAGACTGACGGTGTAGCATCGTCAGGTCATTGTGGATGATGAGAGAGAACGCCAGGGCGCTTACGGCTTGAGCCCCATAAGCCGTCTACTAACAGACTAACATTCTCGTTAATTCGCGTACTTATCGTACTTAGCCTACTCCATTGACATTAAACTGACCAGTGATAAGTCACTACTTACTATCGGAGCTTACTGTAGTCTGTATCTGTTCTCTTTCTCTTGAGACGACCACCTTGGCCAGGTCGACAACCTTGTGCATGCGGGCTCCTCTGCAAGTTCTGTCCTAAATTATCTAGCGCGACTGTTGTACCTGCGCAGGGCCTCGCACTGAGCGGCGGCAACAGACTCGGACACAAAGGTCATCTGTATTCCGGTGCGCACCTCAGGCCTCAGACTCGGTTGTTCATACTATCGTCGAAGGCGTATGTCTTTGCGTTGACGTCCTCCAATTCATTGCATCGATGTCACACCCTGCCTGAGAAACGATGGTCCGACCGTCTGGCCTGACTGGCCTGGACGAGACTCGACGTGCAGACAACTCAACGCCCCATCATACTGCAGCCAATATGAACGCCTGGTATCGGCTATCCTCGCCCGCAATAGCAGCAAACAGCGCAGGAAACTCTGATTCGTTATGTGGGGTGTCAGACAGGTGAGTGCTTTACTGTGCAGGAGCTTGAGTAGCGATACATACTGACTTGGCTGACCACAGTGCAAGTCCCTCGTGCATGTCCACGGAAGGACTCCTGTGTTTTACATATACGCGCTTGGCTTGGCTTTGCGCCCTGGTTTTCCGCCCATGGCCTGACGATCCCGCAGACGACCCCAAGACCTCCCGACACCGGACTTTATCCTGGGCGCTCATGCAAGCCCACCGCGGCCGAGGATCACCTGGACGAACATCTGCAGCCCGCTGGGTTCCTCTGGCCTCCAATGGCCGTCCGCACCGCCTCCGAAGGAAACATTCGTCCTACCGAATCGGACGCGCTGGCCGACTTCTGAGGACGAGTGCCGCCACTGAATTGAACACAACATGCTAGACTCCGCCTCGATGCCTGCCGCTATAGTCTAATGCGGGACCACATGACCACCTTTAGGTTCTTCGCTCCACCGCCATACGACGCATAAAAAGGACGTGCACCGCTGCCTGGTCCTGTCCGTTGAAGACAACTCTTTACAACCTCTCTAACACTCAGCCTCCCGAGCAACATGCGTGCCTTCTCTCTGCTCACTGTCGCTGCGACGCTCCTCGGCGCCGTCTCCGCCGCCTCGATCCCTACTGTCCGGGAGACACAATGCTCCCACGAAGAGGTCGCCTACACAACCTACATCGGCAAGGACAAGAACGTCAGGCTCCAGGTCTCGCACTGCGACGACGAGCCGCTCCTGGACGCCCACGGGCACCAGGTGACGTCGCTCACAAAGCGGCAGAGCAATAACGTCTGCGGCGCTGCTTGTGCGTACAACATCTCCCCAGCTAGGCTCCGATCATGCTTGCTGACCCATGGCACTCGCCTATCCCTCGTCGTACAGGCAACACCTTCTGCTGGACGCCCGCCGGCGGACCTGCCACTGCCGACTGCGCTGTCATCGCTGACGCCCTCCTGTACGAGAGCCAGAACACCGGCGCGCTCTTCAACGTGTCCCCCTTCAACGTACGTGCACCCCAGCTCGCCGATGCGTGATGCGTCCCAACGCGAGCTAACGCTCACTCCACATTCCGCAGACCTCCACGAACAAGGTCACGATGCAGTATGCCACCTGCCTGACCTACTTCCTCAACCAGGACTTCAACACACTGACGTACTGTCGTACTGAATGGGTAAGTGCCCTGCCCTTCGTATCCAGCCAAGACAGCGTTGCTGATGCAGTTGCGGCTACAGTCGAAGCTCGTGACCTGGCTCGCGTCAGATTGCTCTGCTGCGCGTGGCTCAAGCGGAGGATTGTGCGTCGCCACCGACCAGCGGTGGTATGTGCAGTAAGTCGCGGTCGTCTCCTTGCTTGACACTTCCAGTGCACTAACACAACTGCAGGCTCCAGCACAGCTGAGGGCATGTAGGCAATTTGGGGCGACTGTTTTAGCCCTCAGGACTCTAATGATGATGGATAGTTGTATCATACGTAGGAAGAAACATGGGGTGACTTCTGAGAGTCAGGACTTCGTTGATGACGGACAGTTGTATAATACATAGGAGTGGATCCTACGGTCCTACGGACACTACGATTCAATTGATGCTCCTGTGAATTCTTCCCCTTTCCTTGAGGGAGAAGGAACGCATAAAGACCGCAAGATACACTGAGCGGGAGTCGAACCCACGCCGCTTGCTAGCTGGCTACATTCAATGGGCCTGCATGGAAGGCAAGCATGATACCGTTTCACCATCAGTGTTGTGACCCCTTTCTCGATCCCCTTCCATTTGTACAGAGGGTGTATTCTTGTCTTCTGGAAACGAGAGACCCACCATGGCGTCCTCCCAGCAGCCGGGGGCCTCCGCCAGTCTTCTCGACGCCGAAGCTGCTGCTGTCGTGCAACATTAACCATCCGGTTAGCAGCACTTTGTACTTGCGGCGGGTCCGTCGGACTGATTGCAACTAGGTGACGGAGGTCGGTATGTATGAGTCGCCTTTGACACGAGCATACTCACATGGTACATTAGTATGCAGGTGGGATTGGTATCATCTGAGGTGTTCGCCAGAGCCCGAAGATGCTCACTCGCGCTATACGTATCGCTTCAGCTCACTCACGCGTGCGCAGTATGACTACTCGGAGACCAGTTACTATTACGAACAGGGACAATACGCTAGCTGCCCACGCAACCCTGAAAACCTTTCGAGACATGTTGTACAACACACGGCAATAGCGATGAATAAATCAATGTGTACCCGAATTCCCTTCCTCCAATTCACGGCTCGTCGTCGATGAAAATCCGATCCACGTCCTTCCACTCCCCCACGCCCTCGTCGTGCTTCTTCTTCCACACCTTCTCCCGCTCCACCCAATACTCCAGCTGCTCGTCCACCATCGCCGGCATCCACACCCGCTCCCCCGTGTCCGCCTCCGTCGTCGCCTCGAACCACCGCGGCCGGTGCGGCGGCGCCTTCCCCTCCTCCCGCGCCCGCCGCACCTTCCGCTGGAACTCCTCCTGCTTCATCTTCAGGTCGTTCGCGCGCTCGTACTTGCCCAGCTCGAACGCCCGCTGGTCCGGCCGCATCCGGCAGTCCGTCGGGCACACGTACGGCTTCAGCGTGTCCTCGGGGCAGTCGTTCAGCGTGATCGCGAACGGCGTCAGGTTGAACGGCGCCGGCGGCTTCACCGAGTTGCGCCACAGCAGGATGTACTCGTTCGTCGTGGGTGAGTTCGGCCCGCCCATCGCGACGTCCGGGTGCAGCTGGCCGACCCCAGTCCCGACCTGACGTGCGACGAGCTGGCTGTTCCAGCGGCCGGCGATCTCATACGTGATGTTCCCCTCCTTGTCCTGGACGTATCCCGAGATCTCGTATGCGTCCTTCCCGCGCCAGCCACGAGGTTTGAACGTCAAGACGCACTTGTCTCCCGTGCGGTGGTTCGTAACCTGTCCCGTGTCAGCCTCGTCATACCACGGAGAAATCCACATGCAACTCACAATCATGTCGCCGTAGTGATCAATCGTCGGCGAGCCCAGGATGAACCCAGAAATGTTCGTCGTGACCTTCTTCCAGCTGAAGTGCTCTACCACGCGTCCCTTGGCACGCGCACCCTTTGCCTTCGGGTAAGTCCGGCGCACGCTCCTCAGGCAGGAGCAGCTCGGCGTGTGCAACGCCCGTCGGGCGGATCTCGAACGACTTGCCCATGAACTTGTTCTGCGCGTCGACCTCGCCGTAGTAACGCCACATCGGAGACTCGGCCCAGCATGCAGAGATCGGCGGATGGTGGCTGACTTGCTCCGAGACGTAGCGGTACTGCTTGTCGTGCCGAACGTACTCAAACGTCTCGCTCTGTGTACACGGTGAGCTGATGGCAAGTTCGGCATGGGGAGAGACGTACGAGCATCGGGTTGAACGGCTTGGCAATACGCCCGATCGTGGACGAGTAGTTCGACATCGCGAATGCAGCGACGAACGCGATGCGCCGATGAGGATCCTCTTCAGCGTACGCCGCGTCCACTACACCACTCAATCAGCGCAGGTTCAAGCTAATATAACGGGTGTACTCACAACACTCCGAAAACTCCATATCCTCCGCCATACGCTGCAGCATGCTCGTCGGCTCATTGAAGAACACCGGGAACGAGATCTTCGTCAAATCCTTGCCGATGCTATTCTTCAGCACCGCCCACAGGCTCATCGGCGGCCTGTCGTCCGACGTGATCGAGAGGCGGTCGCGCAGCTTCAAGTACGCCGCGTACACCTCGCGGTTGAGGAACTGCTGCGCCGGAGACGGCTCGATCAGCGACTTCGTGATGACGAGGTTCGGGAGCGTGTTCGACTCGATCGCGTCGAAGAACTCGTCCTCCTCATCCGTGTCGCCCGCTTCGTCGTCCAGTGCGGACGTGGCGGGAAGGCTTTGGCTCATGATGAGAGAGAAACGGGGACCTGACGAACCCGCGGACGACCGCCTGCCAGCCCTGCGTTGAGCGATCGTCCCAGTAGGTGACGGCACACTCTCCGCCGGCGGTGACGATGGCAACTCGGGCGGAGGCACAGGGGTAGGATAGGCCGCAACTGGCGTCGTGACCTCCTCCGTTGGAGATGACACAAGGGCAGATGGGCGCCTGCGGATGGTGCCTTCCTGAGCGACGCTCGGTGCGCGACTTCTGCGGCGGAACCTGCTGCGAAGTTCCTTCTCGAGCATGTCGCCCTCGCGCACGACTGCCTGGAGGCTCTCCTCCCAGATGTTCTGACGCTCGCGCTCGCGCTCAAGCTTAGACTTGTACCACTCCTCCCTCTCCTTGACCATGGAAACATACTCGGATAACATCCCGGACACAGAGTGGAAGGTGTCGGTGAGCGCCTTACTGAGTTCTGCGGCACGGGGCGAGCCAGGAGCCTGGGCAGGAAGACCCGAAAGCAACTGCGACGCGAGATCGACCTGGGCCAAAAGCGCGTTGCCCTGCAACTCGAATGCGTTCGCGTGAGGAACCTGGTTTGTCGAGCCTGCCTCCGACGTTGAGTCCTCGCCCTCGCCATCGACCGCCTGCTCCGGGTCTCGAACGGATCGGGCTCCTTCTCTAGACCTCACCACCCGACTCCACGTCTCCAGCGAACTGGCCGTCGAGACGATGGCACCAGCCGCCCGGTCCTTCCGCTTATGTGTGTTGTACGAGCTTCCCGAGATAGACAATGACGGCTTGAGACTCGGGGCCGAGCTCTCCCCACTTCTCCGGTCTTGCTGCTCACTCTCGCGTTTGGCGATCTCCATACTCTTCTGCAGGGCAGTGATCCATCGTGAAGCTTCAACGGGATGGTTGGCCTTCAGATACCACTTCTGCACGGAAGAGTGACCTCGCGATGGCGTCGAGTGGACTTCGAAGCGCAGACCGGAGGTACCGGTGGGAACCGTCAGGACCGCTGTACGCAAGGCGATCGACCCTCGGCAAGCCAGATTCTCGTCGTCCTGGTGGCGGTAATCTGCGAACTTTCAGGTGAGGAGGCTACACGCTTCCAAGGACATGACAACGTACACGAAAGTACTCCCTGATGGAGCACAAACCAACGGGTATTATATCCCTTCGCAACGTTGGTATACTTATTGAGGTAACCCCTCAATTCGGGCGGCTCGGACGAAGGCTCTGGATGAGTGAGTTGTCCTGGTTCGTGACTGCTAGGAGTTCAGTATATATTCTCGCAGGCAGGGTCGGCAGCACCTACACTGTCGCAAGAACGCCCGCACTTTGTCGTCCTTCGGGGCGCTCTCATATACGGGCCTACCCTTTCTATCACGCACGAAGACGTCGGCCCCAGCACGGATGGCCTTCTCTACTAAACGCAGGTCCTTGCGTCGCGCCGCCTCGTGCAGCAGAGTGCGACCGCTCGCGTCATCGAGGTAGGACAGGTCAACGAGGCGTATGCGCGGGGAGTCCAGAAGCTTCACAAGCGCGTCAGGCGGGGGCTCGTTATATGGGGAGTGGATGTAGGATCGTAGGAGTGAACGATAGGATGCCGTCAGGAGCGCCCTTGAATCTACGAGAAGCTTCGAATCAGGGATACAGCGACACCAGAAATATGACGAAATGAACTGACCCCGTATCGCGCGGATGGTGTCCTTCCCCCTGGCGACATCTAACACTGTCCGGCCCTGGCTGTCTCGCAGACTGTCGTCAATGCCGTCCTGCTCAAGAAGCAGGTTGACAACGTCTGTCCGCGATAAGGAAGCCGCGAGATGGAGAGCTGTGGTGCCAGAGCCAGGTGGATAGACAGCATTCGGCGAGATCGACCTGTGGGACAGAAGGAGCGCGATAGTATCGCCTGAAGGCTTGTCAGGGGCCGCTCGTAGTTCACGACGTGGATGTTCCAGGCTTACATGATGCACATCGGATCGCAAGATGGAGGGCCGCGGCACCCAAGTCGACGTCGCTCTCGGATGAAGTTCGCCGGTCCTTGGAGATGTCCGTCAAGAATGGATGGATGCGCGCCGGGTCGCCTGCAGGACCTGAGTGGAGGATAGACTAAGAAGAGCCGCTATATACGCACCACTGCGGAGAGCTGAGAGTAGTCGAACTTGATACAATGAATCCAAACCTGTACCATCTACAGGACACGCGTCAGTATACAAAATCTTGACCGCATGCCACATGACGCAAGGCAAGACAATGAAACACGATACATAGTCGTGGCGGCAGGACGGCAGAGCCTCCGGTGAGAAGCAAGTCACCGAGTTTGTTAGACTGCGGCAGTCTCCACGGCGGACCCTGTCCACTGACGGCCGTTTTCGGACAGCGTGGATCTCGCAGTAAGATGCACTGGGGTAGAGCGCAATGCGACGCGATAAAGAAGGGCCCCGCTCTCCCAGGCGTAGACCTGGCTGTGCGAGTGGAGCGCGCGCTCTCCCCCGTGTGCTTCATGCGACTGCCAAAGGCGAACGTATGTGCGAGGAACGAAGTATGCTTCACTGGCTATTGCGCGAGCAGAATCGCCACGGGCGGATGCATGGATGCGCGGTGTACGTCTCGGACAGACGCTAGCTGTACGCATCCATGCTCGACGCGTCGCAGGAAATGGGATGGGGAACACAGTGTACGCTGCGCGACGCTTCGGAGAGTGCAGCGACGTACGCCGGTGCTATAACTGCAATATGAACACCCCGAAACTCATCCACCGCTACCTCCCTAACGTCCTGTCTCGCCCAGTGTCAAAATGGTTGTGTCATGGGGTCTTTGGCGGAGGACGGGGGGTTGTCCCAGTGCTATGAGT